CCGCCCGCCCGTCCTCTCGGCCGCCACTACGTCGGACAGCTGAGGGTACTCGGTGAGGATGCCCGTCACCGCGCGGTCGTACTCGCGCGCCGTGGGGTAGCTGCGGGACACGTCCGCCAGCGTCAGACACTGCCAGCCCCGCGCATGCCCCGCCCCGCCCCGCCCCCTCACAATGCGTGTTGTATACTCACTAGTCGGTGCAGTACTTTTCGAGCATGTCCCAGGCGACGATGCGCACGATGGTGCTCCGGTGGGCGTTGGACAGCTCAAAGGGGGAGGAGAGCGCCTCCATCACGTTGGCCGGCAGCGCCGGGATCTTGTAGATGTAGGGCACGTGGGGGTCGTCGTCTGTCCGCCGCCGGTTCCAGCGGTCCATGACGGTGTCGCTCGGCTCCCCCTGGCGCCCCTCCTCGTACTCGCCCTCCTCGGCGGCGTCCTGGGCAGCGGGGTGACCGTGACCCCCGGCAGTGCCACGGCCGCGGGCAGGCTCGGCTGTACGAACGACTGCAAAGGCCCGGTGAGATGTCGTCAACCCCCGCCCAAGGAAAACGGAGACCTCATCGTGACCTCTTTATGGTTTACGAGGTCACGATTCTTGCACGTGTGACCTCGTCGGCGACCTCACAAGCGCAAGGAGTCGCGGCCTCAGAGGTCACAATGAGGCCTTCGTGAGGAAAAAACGTTTTCCTTCGGCAAGCGTCAGCTGACTACCCGCTGCTGGTCTCACCTCTCTGCTTGAACTCCAGGCGCGTCTGCTCCGCGATGGCGCCGAAGTCGTCCTCGTCGAGCCGCACCCACATGACGCGCCCGTCGGTCGGCCGGGTGTACTCTTCGTTGATGACGATGTCGTCGTCGTCCAGCGGGGCGGGCAGGGCGGCCAGCTCGGCCGAGAACTTCCTCCGGAAGGCCTGGATGAGCGTCGCCCGCCGAGAGTCGGGCACGATCACCATCCGCGGTGCGCCATCGCCGAACACGAGGAAGAACTTCATCATGCGTCGCCTGGAAACACATCAAAAACAGAACACACAGTTTAGATGTCGTCTATGCAATCAGATCCTAGTACACAAGTGGGACGCAATGTGTACATAAACTTGTGAAACATGAACGACAGGAGGGTAGAAGTGGCACTTCCATCTAACGGTTGGACAGAATTCCATCTAAATGCTTCATCATTTTTTAGATGGAATTCCATCTAAATGCTTCAACTTTTTAGATGGAATTCCATCTAAATGCTTCAATATTTAGATGGAATTCCCCCCATTTCCTACTTTATTGGATGGCGAACTAGATGGATTCGTCCATATTTTTGGGTTGATTTCCGACCCTTTTCAGATGTACAGGTGCATGCAATCGGGTGCAAAACATAACACACAGTAGGTACAATGTTCTATTTTAATTTGAACTTAGTCTACACGGCATACAATTTTATGAATGGACCTCTGCACTATGCATACTTTGTCAACTCGTCTATTTTAACTCCCACTTACTCTAAATTATTTTATTATTTTGCTGAATCTAGCTCTGCACAATGCATAGTTTGTGGTAAACTTTTTCGGCTCCCAATCTCTACAGCCCATTATTTCCTCGTCGAGAAGTCGCCATGTCATTGCCAGTGCTGGGTTCCATGCAATGTCACTCAGGTGGACAACATGGACCAAAAGCTCAAAGCACTCGAGCAGGCTGAGGTTTTTATCATTGGAGGCCTGGTACCCGTCTATCATGGGGATAAATTTGGCGCCAGGACCCCATTCACCATTCTTGTCTGGTTTTACCAACACATGGGGGATTCCATCGCCAAGTTCCTGTGCACGACAGAAAACATTAGTCTACAGTACATGCATAAAATGCAACAATGAGGAGGTGGCATAACTTCAACTGTACCTACCTCCATGCTGATCCACTGACCATAGTTCTTCTTGGGGTCCATGGACAGGTGTGGTAGTGCTGCGATAACCTGCCACATATGAGCACCTGGAAGGGAATGCATTCATTTCTGTTATTAGAATAAGTTGTTGTTATATGTTTCGATTGTATAATAATTTGTGCTGCTACACACAATATCATTTCTTACAGTACAGTAATATTTTCTTTGTCAAGTTTTATGTCCACATTCTAATATTTATGTGCGGCTAGACTAATTCAAGATCTATATGATATTGTGTTTGGGTAATTTTGTGTGTACAAGACTGGAGTATTATTTTCTGTAATCTGTAGTAAGTAAGCTTTCAAAGCAGCATACACACTTTTGTATAAACTTACTTATTACAGATTACAGAAAATAGTACTCAATTTTTGTACATACAAAATTTCCCAAACACAATATCAACTCTTACAGTTCTGCATTGACATCTTAGATTTTTACAGTTCTTACTTTCTCCACGCTCTACAGCAGCCTTATTGGCCAGTGCCATGATTTCGAACGCATTGTCATTCTTCTTTAAATCATCTAGTAATAATCTTCTCCTCCGTACTGTTAGAAAGTCACTTATTGGCCTGGCGAAATTTGCTCCACGCTGCAACTGCAGTTCAGCATAGATCTGAAAGGGAGGGCCCAAACCAATATTAATCAAGGTGATGCAACGATTACTGAAATTGCATTGTTTTATTTTACTCACCCCATCTTTGGTTCTCAGTGTGGGCCAATCAGTGCCCACCTCCTTCCAGAGCGGGCGTACGGTGAGTGTCCACGTGCGGCGGTAAAGCTTTGTCCTGGCCATGATTTCCTTTACCCCAGTGATCAAATGTGGCTTCTCTCGCTTGTCACACAGCTCAAGAAGCGTCTGTCGATCAGCCGCAACGCTCTCGCGGTCAGATCCCTCGTCGTACATCAGCTTCTGCAAATGTAAAACAGGCAGGCAAGTGTTACCAGGGACACTAAAAGTCCAAGTGTATGCGAATGTCGCACACCAGTCGTGCACTTGGATTTTCAATGCAGTGGAGACTTAATGGTTCAGTGAATCGACTTACCACCGGCTCTAGCCCTCTCCTCCGTTTGGCCTTGGGCAGCAATGCTGGTGTGTCACTAGCGGGGCACGGAAGTGCTCGCTTGCGCCTGGAGTACTTCTCCTTCGTTCTGAGGAGGACTGTTTCGTCCCCTTTCATCTGAAACATCTCGACCTGCTTCTTGCTCTCTCTCAGGCGCATCGTTTTGAAGCGCTGCACCAGTTGCCGTCGAATACTAGCCTGCAATGCAATCAATATATGGTGTTTAACGGTATGTGAGTAGGGGAAAAGGGGGGGGGGGTGAGGGGGTGAGGCTTACCGCCTTGCACTCTTCATCCTGTCCCGGCTTGATGGGGTCCCCGAGGAATGGATACTTCGTCACCACGGCCCTAGCTACTCTGTCGTACTCCTCGGAGCGAGGATAGCTGGAAATAAATACAAGCGAGATTCAACAAAAGGGACAAAACAGTGGTGCTGGACGCGGCGCCCACCACCGCCCCGTTCGCGATCACTTACAAATCTGTTGCATAGTTCATCATGTCATTGGCCACGGCCCATATGAGGTCGTTCCGGTCCGTAGTGGGCAGTTCGACCGGCCGCTCACCCTCTGGCGTTTTGAGAATCTCGTCAAATGCGAGCTGCAGATTCGGGGGCAGTTCGGGTAGTCTGTACGTGAAAGGGATAGAGTTTTCTCCCCTCCGCCGCTTGTGATTCCACCATTCCAGAGTCCGACCGTCGTGTTCGACTTCACTCCATTGCCACCGACTCCGTCTGCCGCAGGGTCATCGACGTCCGACACGTCCAGTTGACCCGGTTGGGCAATTCGAGATGACGGGGGCTTCGACTTTGGTGTCCGTGCTGCAATGTCTGTCTGAGGGACCGACACGGTGGTCGGTGCTGGATCTGAAACACACGGATGTGGATAGACCTTTTCGCCCACAACGTGGCAACGCCGCAAGTAGAATCTTATACTTGAGATAAACCGTATTTTGAGTGTCTGTCAACCAAATTACTCATCACCACTGGACTCCTTGGATAATTTACTAGAGACAAGTGTTTTTACTTTTTGAAAATTTTCCTAAATTACAATTTCACTACAGTGATTTGCGTTGTTGCCAAGTTGTGGGCGAAAAGGTCTATTGTCAAAACGTCCTCAACTACGAGTTCTATTCTGTTGCAGTTGGGCCCCTGCGAAACCTATCATAGGCCTCCCCGCAATACATGGATGCACGGGGCCAGCGAGAAGTTGCCTACATCACAGGCGCTTATACTCACCATGTATCTTAAACTGCAATTCTCTCCCATCACACAGTAGGTCACTGTTGTACTCTTTTTCCCTTAGACACGCCCACACTACTTTGCCTGACGGCGGAGTACGAGACCAAGTGGAGATTTCTATGAGGTCGTCGTGCACAGGGCCACTCGAGTGTCTCACTGTTTCTAGCTTCTTCAGTTCGGGTTCGAACGTTTTCCTGAACGCCCCAATCAGTGTCGCTCTGTTGGAATCAGGCACGATGATGCGTCTGACGTCGACCCCCACCCAATCGGCAACGAAGGTCAACGCGCTGCAACATACGAATGAGTACGAAATATAATCATTGCTATTTACAGTGACACGGTGCACGCACCCTCGCGGCCAAACTTACGTGGCGAGGCTAACGTGAATGCAGCAATGCCCGCCACCAAGTGCAACAGGTCATTATCAGAATGTACAGTGTATGCCTTGCCTATGTACCTTTAAGTAACAATAAAACTAACTAATTACCTACCCTAGTAACACACATGTTTCTCGGGCGGCTCTCCTCGCCCGACTATCGCCGATAGGCGTCGACATTTAACGCCTCGTCAACGCCGGCGTTGGTGAGTCGATGTGCAAAATGGCACAGCTAAGTCACCGCCGCGTCAACACCGCCGAGCCGACCATCGACGAGGCGAGTGTGCCGGGCGTGCGCGCTGCGTTGCACGAAATGGCACGAAGGCACAAAAGACGAGAGCTTCCATCGGAACGGAGGGCACGCGCGGCCGTACCACGTCCCTTGCGGCGTGACCACGTTTAAATCACAGGCACCAATAATGAGCCGCAAGGAACGATTTGCGGCGCGTGGGAGTCGCCCGGGGCCCGGGGCGTTGACGGCGCGCTGTCCGGCAGCGTCAACCTACCCCGAGTCCCGATGGGCGGGAGTACACGCGATCAGGGGGTAGCGAGGGGTGACTAACTCCATGACAATGTGTGCACCGGATTACCAGATTTTAAATATTACCAACGATTACCGAAGATTACCAATGATTACCAAAGATTACCAATGAAAAAGATTGTTTTTTCCTTGTTCTAGAATCACGCACTTTCTGTGAAATGCATCCTTACTTTTCACTGAGAGGCTGCTGCCGCTGTTGCTGTTGTTGCTGCTGTTGCTGTTGCTGCTGCCTGGTTGCTGCCAGATCGCTGCCACCGCTGCCAGAGGAGATGTCGCGCGCCTCGGAGTCGGCTTCTCTCTCCCACACGCTATCGGCCTCGCAGAACCACGCATCCTGCGGCGCCTCGTAGACATCTGCAAAAAGCAACGAGTTATGTTAAGCGACACAAATTTGAAAGACAACTTCCTTTCTTTGTCGCCTCAAAAGACGTCTTAAAGACGTTTTAATTGAAAATGTCTTCAACTCCATGAAAGAGTTCTATGCCAGTAATGTAGGATAAATGTGATAAATGTAATAATTGTATTGTCAAATGTTGATCTCTCTTGTATTTGATTATGAGACAAATAAATTGAACTATGAAGTTCATTCCTTGGCCCCCTAACTAAAACTCCACACCACTCACCTTTTTTTTGTCATAGGCTTGTCTGTGGAAACACTTTACCGTAAAATCTTTTCATATCTAACATACATAAAAGTTACGACAGCCACAGCCAGCACACTACAGTCCAAGTGAACATTGCAGAGGATATAGTTTCTTCCAATGTCTAGCATTACCTGCGACCTCCAGTTTCAGCTTCAGCTCAGACTCTGACATTGAGTTGCTGACTTCGAGACTCTTCCAATCTACTCCTGTCTCCTGATCCTTGGCGGGGGCGGATGACTCATCAGGAGCAGTGAGCTCAGCCTGGAGTGGCAGAGAGGGGCTAGTGAGAGCACCGTAATGGAGAGACAAGATCACCACACCCTGACCAGCCTGGTTGGTAGCTTACCTTTTCCAAGTGGCCACTCATCTGCAACTGCAGCAGCAGAGGGAGCAGAGTTTTGTCCAACTCTGACTCCATTTGTTCCAGCTGCAAATCTGCCTGCCAGGTCACTTCACAGTCCTCCGCGATCAAACTGCACTTTTTGACTGACAGGAGACGTACGCTCTCCTCCAGTTGAACCACCGTCTCCAGCTGCTTCACAGCTAATTCCGTAGAGGTGTGCACATCACTACCACCCGCCTGCTTCAACTTCTCCAATGCCTCCTCCATCTGATGAAGTTGGGCCCCCGCCGAGTCCAGCAGTTTGTTCAAGGCTTCCATAGCAATAGGCACCAGATCGCTAAGCTGCTCAACCACCCTCTTCCCCGCTTCCACACCCCGTTCCAGTTGCTGGATCCTTGCGTCCTCCCTTCTGGGCACCTTGTGTGGCGGGATGGCATTGCTTTTAATCAGATGTATAACAAGTAAATTGTCAGGTAAGCTGCTAGGGTGAGTGCCAAGCTCCTGGAAGAAAGCAAACATTAAATTATTTCAATTTCTTTCTAATTAAATTTATTTCAGAAGGTAATAGCGGGCAGAAGTTTTATCAGCTGCTGACCTTTCTACAATTTGGACACCTTCTCCCCAAGGCAGGATTCTCTATACACTTCTTACAAATGGAGTGCCCACAGGGCAGGCACTTAGGCCTATGACAGTCCAGGTCAAACTCTGTTGCGCATACATCACATGGTAGAGACATCTAAAACACAGGGGAAAAGGAGCGTCACACTTTGAACATCAGGTTGGCTGCACAATCTTCAGCACTGTTGGTAAAATTTGACTTTTATCCATGGGGGAAAATATCACTTTTGAGCGAATAAAACATTTAGTAAAAACTAGGGAAGAAGCCTAGCCAGCTTGCACTGTTTCATCAATAAGATACCTTGACTTAAGCCGAACAACAGAGGGCAGCTAAGAATGTTAAGCTTAGCTCTTGACTAATCCTATAGTTGGTTTCCTCATGTATTTTAGAATTTAACGACAGAGGCTATAGATGGTGAGAAACCGGGCGAGTCGTATTGACGTCTCAACTCTTTCCGCTTTTAATTTTTGCACAGCTAAAGAGAAAAGCAATGCGTATTTTCAATACAATCAGTAGAGTAACAGAATAAACAAATACTTGTTGTGGTAAGGTTAAGCGGAAAGGGTGGAGGGGGGAGAGGGGAGCATTCAAAACATGCCGGCTGCCTATAAGCACGTGACTGCCTTAATGACACTTTCTGGTACCAATAACTACCCAGCTGGCCGTGATCGTGATCGTGATCTGCAGTGGCTAAGATTTGATTTGATCACTGCAAGTATCTATGTTCGACTACTTTAGAAAAGATTTAAGCCCTCCGAAACTCAAAATCAAAACAACTGGAACAAAAGTTTCATTATGATCTTGGTGTGTACCTAGAAGGCCATGAGCAACAGAATCTATGTAGCCGTGAAGTGTGTATTGTCTGTGTGTGTTCTGTCTTCTGCATTTCTTGTTCTGTCAAGTCGAGTGAGTCATTGCTTGCTGTCACCACTTTTCCATCTTAATTCTCCTTGGTCTTTTTCACAACTTTGTAACTTAAATAAATGAACTTGCAGATGCCAACGGAGTAAGCTTGAAGAAAGCCCCTCATCGCCCTCACGGTGCTTGGTGCTATCCAAGCCTTGATTTGTCAACATGGGGGCCGTTATGGGCCTATTTTCTGCTGCACAGGTTCGTTGTCCTCATCAGTTAAAATTTGGAAAGCTCTTCCATTGCTTAGTTTTGCACATTCGATGTCGCCAATCAAAATAGTGTAATCTGATTCTCATGCCCTCTTAATGTGATTTTGTTGTTGTTTTTTTTGTCCCACAACATGGAACATGGTCTTTTAGGACATCACTCTTTGCTATGATTCCTCTTTGCTTGTTTTTCAGCTGGCCTGCTGCTGTGGAAGCACAGCATGTTCTCTATGTGCGGCCTGTCCAGCATGCCGCAACTCAACATCTACTCGCATTATGTATGCCGTAATGCTCTTGCTGGGTACTGTTGTTGGCTGTATTATGCTAGCTCCTGGATTACAAAATGAATTAAAGAAGGTATGTTTCACTGGACATACTGATAAAAAAAAGGATGTACTGTCTCGTCATTCACTGCAATCAAATTTTGTATTTGACCTTCGATTTTATATTTCTAATTTCTATAGTCTTACTTTTATTTGTAGGTACCGTTCTGTAAAGGTGATACTGTCCAAGTTGGGTTTGACTGCTCAGAAGCAGTGGGTTATCTTGCTGTGTATCGCCTCTGCTTTGCCTTCACCATGTTTTATGCATTGATGTGCCTCATTATGATTGGTGTGAGGTCATCAAAAGATCCAAGAGGTGGTATACAAAATGGGTTAGTATTTGAATTTGTGTTGTGCTTAACACTTGTGACTCTCACTTCATTCTATCAGTCTCCTATTATTGATTTTCTTTGTTTTTTATTTGCAGGTTTTGGGGCTTGAAATACCTTGTTGTCATTGCCATTGCTGTCGGAGCATTCTATATTCCCGAGGACAGTCGTTTTGCCACAACATGGCTGTATTTTGGAATGATTGGTGGTTTCCTTTTCATCATCATTCAACTGATACTCATAATTGACTTTGCTCACTCATGGGCAGAGAGGTGGGTTGGTCGCTATGAGGAAACAGAATCAAAGTGGTGGTAAGTAACATCTTCTTAGAAAGTTGTCAATCACAATCAACAAGAAAATAACTTGTATATTAAGAATGATCTTGAATTACGTTTTTTATCTGTTGAAAGGTATGTCGCCCTCCTGTCTGCCACCGCGTTCAATTACATTTTAGCTCTGACTGGAGTGATTCTCCTTTATGTATTTTATACCTCGGTAAGAAATGTACCAGCACACTTAAAGATATTTTGAACATTATTGTCAATACGAAAGGAACTAACCAATTTTCTTATCCATTTTAGCCTGGTGACTGTGGATTGCAAAAGTTTTTCATATCTTTCATTCTTATCCTTGCTGTTGCTGTAAGCAGTGTATCTATTATGCCAAGTGTACAAGAGCGTCAACCCCGATCTGGGCTTCTTCAATCGTCTGTGGTAACCCTTTATGCCACTTATCTCACTTGGTCTGCCCTATCTAGTTCATCGGGTAAATTTATTTTTCTCCTTTAGATGCTCTATTACCTTTGAAACTGACAGTCAAACTTATGCTATTTTCAACCTTTTTCAGATGATCAGTGTAATCCAGGACTGCTCGGTATCATTGGAACTACAAAGAGCAAAGTTGGCTTTGACCAACAGGCCATTGTTGGATTAGTTATTTGGATGTGTTGCATTCTGTACTCTTCTGTTCGCTCTGCCTCGTCATCATCAAAGCTGACCATGTCTGAACATGTGCTAGTCAAAGATGGTGGAGGTAAGATTTTTAATGAACTTTTTCTCAGCAGTCACTTAGTCAAACAACCTATGAACATCTGTTTATTTAGTGGTTGGTGCTCTGTTTAGGTTCAATTAACAGAATTCTTATTTAGGAACACATTTGCATGTCAGATCAGATGCTAGTCCTCTTTGGGTGTTCAGTGTATTTTCCCTACCAAATCTTTGGATTTTATCTGAAATTATTGTCATTGTCTTATGCCTTCAGTGCACTCCTCAATGCAAGGTGACGCCTCTCTGATTGACAATGAAGGTATGAGCTAGTGATTGCTATAGCATAGTTTTCAGGACTAGAGGGTTTATGCAAACACACACATGAAAATATTTTGTTTTTTGAGTCCTTACATTACCTCCAATATTACACCAATTCCTCCATACCCCTTCATCCTTGTTTTCATAATTATTGTTGTTGCAATAGGTTGAATTTGAGGCTGTAGGAGATTTATTGCTATTGATGGGTGAAAGAAAATATCCCTGCTATTTTTATTGCCTTGATTTAGTGTTCATCAACGTAGTTCCTGAGCAATTTTCGGTCTATTCTCTGTTGATTTACTTGCGTTTGTGTCATTCTCATTACAGAGCGTGGAACCTTGACAGAAGATAACGGAAGCAGTGGACAGAAAGTTTGGGACAATGAAGATGAGGGAGTGGCTTACTCTTGGTCTTTCTTCCATCTCACCTTTTGCCTTTCTACTCTGTACATCATGATGACTTTGACCAATTGGTACCAGTAAGTGCATTTCATTTACTAAAATATTTTTTTTGTTTCTTTTCTTTGCATGCGTTTAAAATTATGACAATTTCATTTGCAGGCCAAACTCCTCACTGGCAACACTCAACGCCAATGATGCTTCTATGTGGGTCAAGGTAATCTCAAGTTGGATGTGTATGGGACTGTACCTATGGACTCTGATTGCTCCTGTTGTGCTTTCGAACAGAGAATTCAATTAATGAGCCAGATAGTTTCCTGTTATGGTGCTTTAAGACTTGAACAAATTCTATTGCTTAATATTTGCTTAAATTTTAATTTGTGTTCTCATCTCTATCTTATCATTCTGTTAGCCTCACAGAAATTAAAATTACCTACCTAAGCATCACTGTTCTGTCGTGTTGCTTTTCTTAATTCTGTCAATCTATATACACTATGTACTATTTTATAACAAAGGTTTTATATGTTTGTCAGTTTTCCTGGGATTGATGTAATGTGGTTTCTGTATTACAAAAAGCTAATAGTTTGTTGTTTTTTTTGTTGTTTTTTTGGTTCCAAATGCCTTAGTCTTGTATTTTTTGTTATTCTGCCATGGTCTTTGGTGCTTAATCCAATGGAAAAGAAATGTGTGATTGATGTGATAGATAAGTGAATAAGTTTGTATTCAATGATACATTGTATTGAATACATTATTAGAAGTAGACTATTTATGCCTTGAATGTTTTGCATATGCAAGTAATGCACCCATATACACATTTCTTTGCATTTTTGTAATCACACATTAGGCATATATGAACAATACCTGTGAAGTAGCATAGCCTCTAGTAAGGAAAATGTAAAGTTGTAAAAGACATAGGTATTAAAGCCCAAAAGTTGTTATATCCCCGTTTATACCACTGAACATGTGTGTAATTATTTTCTAACTTCTGGGATTAATGGCACTGTGTAACTAATCTGTGTCTGCAGAGATGGCTCCCATTAGTTTAGCCAAATAGTCAATGGTAATAGTGTGCAACATTTTTTCTATTTTCAATCTTTAGAACTTGTATATGTAAGGATGTGAAATGATTTCAATTTACTCATAGAGATTATACTTCTTCCAGCCAACCATACACCTGTTTCTTTATTTCCTCGTATTAATGTTACATGTAGCAGTTTTTTGAAACTTTCTTTAGTGGTAAATTTGCCAGTGTTCACTCTCATTCAAAGGCTGCATCACATTTAATGTGTGCAAGCTTACATACAAAAAAAATTGCCTGTCCATTTCAAACTTTACAATTAAAATGTCCATGCCGGGATGTGCTTTCTTTCTTTGGGAAATCCTAAACTGTGACTGATCATATCATATAAATTATAAACATCTACTTGAGATCAATGTCAAAGTACACTTTGTATTGGTATAACTAAAAACAAACTGGTCTTCAAAAAAACATTAAAGCTAAGTTGGGTTCTAGTGTAAAACCAACATGGTATAGTAAAACACAATCTGACTTGCAAACAAGAACAAACATAGACACAATAAACAGGCACAAGTAATAAGAAAAGAAAAATAACTAGTAAAGTTGAAATTTTACCTTTGCGTATTCTATTTTTACGAACATACAACAATATAATGTTACGTCCTATAAACAATGTAAAAAGACCACAGTTGATAATTTTAAACTTCAACTACCCTAACTAAATTGGGAAATTAACATTTTCTCAAGATGCACTGCCTGCAGTACAAGTTCCAGTCACAGTCATAGTGTCATAAATCACTATCTATCAGTCTTGGGTATCACAAACCACATAAATCAATATATTGTCATATATTTTTTTAGTGGCAGCAGACTAAAATCGAGAACAAGTCTTTTGTTCCTACATCACATCTTGACATGTATCACATGGCATTTGACACCTAAACAAATTGAAACAAAATAAAATTAACAACAATAAATAAAACAAAATTCCCGAAATGAATGACACAAAAGTAGGTCGATTGAATGTTTGTAGACGAGATCACACAAATGTCCAAATATCGACTACTCAGGAGCGTATTAAGGGGGGGGGGGGGAGGCGGTAGGGGCGACCCCCCCCCTCTCTGTGGTCCACTAGACAGCCGCCAAAAGGTAGGCAATTTGACCTACAACACCATTGTATGTAGGCAACTTTCGATACACCGCCCCGCCGCCCGCCCTTAACACGCCCCTGCGACTGCTCCGGGCGGGGCACGCGCCCCTCATGACGACGTCGCCCCCCACGCGACCCTGGTCGTGTTGACGACGCTGGCCGGCGCCGACACGTCGTCCAGGATGCGCCGCCACAGGAGCCGGTGCTTGTCCATGTCGAGGCCCACGTCGTACCACAGCGCCACCATGAAGGTGGGCCGCAGGTCGCCCGCCAGCACGCGGGGCAGCTCGTCCGAGGTGAGGACGACGTCCGTCCACGAGGCGTGCGTCACGCCGATGCGCTCGGCGAGCACGCCCGTCACGAGCACGTCGTCGATCCAGAAGTAGGGCTCGCGCTGCACCTCGCGGTAGAGCGCGAGCGCCACGTCCGGGGAGAAGAGCACGGCCCAGCCGGCGCAGTAGGTCGGGTACTCGTCGCGCCGGTACTCGCGGAAGCCGACGCGCCACTTGGAGCGCCAGGTCCGCTTGGGGCGGGCGTGCTCCAGGACGGTGCACGCCAGCAGGCGGCGCGCGCCGAACGGCGACATGGTGTTCCGCACGTAGTCGAGCAGCACGGGCGTGTTGACGAGCGTGTCGTCGTCCACCTTGAGCACGTACGTGGCCTCCGGGCAGAGCGTGGCGAACCACTTGAGCGCCATGGCGTGCTTGTACGTCAGGTTGCGGTACGCGTCCACGAACGAGCCCTGCACCACGTCGCCGAACGTCGCCGCCTCCCGGGCGATCTCACCCTGCACGGCCTGGGCGTCCGCGCCCGAGGGCTGCCCGACCAGGAAGCGGACGAGGACCTCGCCGTGCGGCGCCAGCCCCCGCGAGCCCCAGGTCTCGCGGATGAGCGCGCGGTTGGCGGTGTGGCCCAGGGCGGTGTGCACCAGCACGAGCACGAGCGGGCGGCAGCGAGCGGGCGCGGCGCCGCCCAGCAGCCAGCGGAAGTCGCGCAGGTCCACGAGCGTGCCGTCGTCGTCGTGCGCCAGGCCGGCGAGCTCCTCCAGCGGCGGCGGCTCGCTCTCGTTGAGCAGCTGGTACGGCGGCAAGGGCGTAGGCAGCGGCGGCGGCGGCGTCAGCGGCGAGGCGGCGGCGGCGGCGGCGGCCGGCCGGGCCAGGTCCTGCTGCACCGCGTACCACACGTAGCAGGGCAGCGTCACGAACACCATCAGCAGCAGCAGCGCCCAGCGCCCCGGCAGCGCGCGCCCGCCCCGCCCAGCACCGGCGGCTCCCATTCCACAGCACCTGCAACAGAGACAGAACGTCTTGAGATGAGGCCGTCGTACGTCGTACGTCATCGTCCTGAGCGCGACAAAAGAATTATAGCTACTGCAGTACAGTACTGCTGCACGCTGCCCGTATGCGCAACCATCGTACCGTGTGCCCCCGCGTAGTTTGTGTCGCGCCTCCCCGAGGAGATTTAGAGAAACGCAGAGCGGGGCAGGAAATCGCGTTTGCGCCTTTAATCACAACAAGGTTGTCTTTCTCTTACTAGATTTTTATTCCTTTTCTTCTAGAGTGATAGTCTGCTAATGAATGGGCTACGCTGCCAGCTGCTCCAGCCGCAGCGGGTCCGGCCCCCCGCGCCCGCGCCAGTGTCAACATCAACAACAGCACGCCCAGCCGACAGCAGGTGACAGCACGACAACCAAATCGCCCAAAACGCACCGGTTTGTAGAAAGTTTCGCTTGTAGGCTAATTATTTTTTATTCTTGATTTTAAACTGCAGAGGTCAGACAACTGCTGTAGTAGCTGTAGTAGTGCAAATCCTTGGTAATAACAACATATGTAGGTCAAAACGTCGCAGTGTGTCAGTAGGCTAAGGGGTGCGGGCTTTGCGAGCAGTGCACCTAAACAGCCTCGAGGTTAACCCGCAAGGCCCCCCCGGGGGCGGGTCGGGGCGGCGGCAGGGGCGACAGGGGCGCGGTGGGGCGGGGCTCATAGCCGCT